CAGCAGGAGGCGAAAGGTTGCCCCGGAGCCCTCCGGATTGCAAACTCAGCCCGTTGAGGTGGATGCTCCCTGAAGTGGGAAGTTTCAGACCATTTCTCTTCTGAATTTCTCTTTAGCAGCCAACCTGAGGCTATTTAGATGCTGGAAAAGCAATGCAATAAAACTTCCTTTTGAAAAAAAAGTCTATTTTAGACAGATTTGTATCCTCAAATGAGGTACGGGAGGGGGCCGGGAGGCCTGTTCAGTGACAGGAGGACCCACAGAGGCAAAGGATCTCAAGTTGCAACCTGCAGCGCAGAAGGAAGTCCAGGCCGCTTCCCATCTAAATGCACCCCTGCATGGGGTTTGTCCTCTGCCCTGCCGCTCTGCTGACCTCTGTAACTGCCTCAACTCTACTACGCTGCTGCAAAGGACATGAACAACCCTGTGCAAACCGGAGATTCGCCTACCTGGGGTTTGCTGTAGGTAGGTCCAGGTCACCAATTTCTGCATGTTTCCCCCATTCCCTAAAGATTTTGTTAGAGTGCAACCACCTCTGACGGAGGAAGCACAGGCCAGCTGTAGCTGTCTAGCCAGATGTGCTGGCGGAGCCAAGCCTATAACTCCAGCTGGCAAACCCGTTCCACCAGGTTGTCTAGTTTCACTTTCCAGATGAGGAAGCTCAGCACAGACACGCCTCCCCAGTGCCGAGAAGCAGCCCGGCACACTGTCGGTGCTGGTTTGAGAAGAGCACGAGTAAGGGTCTGCATTAAGAAGGCAGGAGGGGGAAGCAAGGTTGGTCCCTGCTTTGGCTTCTGGAGGTGGCTTGGAGAAGCAGCACTGTGCTGGGACATCGGGGTTGGTGTAACAGGGATATGGAGCAGTTTGTGAGGAAGCGCTTGACCTTCCTGGCTTCCTTCTGGAACAAACTCCGCCCGAGATCCGTCCCCGACAACTGCTCTCTGGGGTATTTTGGTCCCGACCCTGTCTCGCTGCAACCAGACCAGGATCCGGATCCTGCTCTCCCTGCTTCCCCGCTCTTCATCGCTCTGTACGATTTCACAGCCAGGAGCACAAACGAGCTGAGCGTGAGCCGAGGAGACAAACTCTGTGTCTACAAAGACGTGGGCGAGTATGTCTTGGCCCGCAGGCTTTCAGGGGACTCTGTAGGCTACGTGCCTGCTAATTACGTGGCAAAGATCAGCCAAGAAACTCCCTCCCATCAGCTGTAAGTATCTGACTCCCAGCTCTTGAGGGTCTTGAATGGGGAAGGTTTGGTATAAAGTAAAGCAAAAGGCAAGGGACGGGCAATGCACCCATTTTGGCAGTATTTGTTGGCATACGATGCTTTGCAGGTCCCTGCAGCACATGGGGCTCTGGTCTACATTGGCAGAGGCAAAACTGCAGCCTCTTGGAGGGCGTCCACAGATGCTTGACTTGTCCTTCTGAATGTGTGTCTGTTGTCAGTGGTTGGAGTCTGCTTGTAGGACTGGGTATGGACAGGCATGTCATGCAGGTGGAGGGCTGAGGGCTGGCCCTAGCCTAATGCTTGGTCCTTGCACAGCTTTTACGGTGGTCACTTAAGGGTGTCAATAGTTCAACCGGGTTAGAAATATCCACGCTAGATGTGCTGATGGAAACATGCTTTGTAGGGGAAAAGCAGAGGGAAGAGCTACACCATTACAACACATCCTGCTGGTCTGAATCGTTCATTTGAAGGTGTAGCTGAGCCAACCCTCTGGGTGTTATATCAGTGTTGTGACTATTGGATGCAGGTTTACTCTTGTGCTGCATAAACCATCACAACTGCATCCTGCTCTTCCTCCTCTCCTGAGTGCTTGGATGCAGGTGAGGGTTAAAGTCCGTGCAGACAGGCAGGGGAAGCTTTGCTGGATACCTAGAAAGGCAACTTTTGGGTACCATCCCGTTAAGGCCATGCTCCAGCTCAATCTACTTCCGCAGCCTGGGAACAACCCCTTGGTGGGAGGGGATGTGCCGTGCAACTCCCTGCTCCTACTGGAGCCACTGTCCACTCCCCGCCAGGCCTGGGAGCATATTACACACAGGAAGGAAACGGTGGGTTGTGCAAACTTTGCCTGAAGACAGGAGCCTCCATGGCACCCACCTGCTCCACCAGCCCCCCCTCGCTCCCCACCAACACTATTGCAGCCAGCTTGACTGTTAAAGCATCGGCCACCTCCTCCCCACTGCATGACCGAGTTTCTTATTCAATAAGGCAACGTTTCTTAGCTCAATCGGCAAATCTAGTTCCAACATGTTTTGTAAAGAGCTTCTTCCGTTCTGCCTGTATCGTGGCCGTGAGTCAGGGCTGGGAGCGTATTACACACATGAAGGAAACGGTGAGTTGTGCAAACTCCTACTCCAGCCCCAGGAAAGAGTCCCATTTCTCATCTAGCGTGCCCCTTCCTGGATGTGGGACGAGGAGGGGAGAAGGAAGGTGGAGGAAAGCCTCCAACCTGCCCATGAGTTTTCAAAACTCAGTCCTTTCTCCTTGTCTGAAAATAACTTTCAGTTCCAGCTGGGGCTTTCAGCCCAGTGGTCCCCCGAGCTGGGAGAGCCAGGGTGAAGGGCTCCACTGAAGGTTGCATCCTCCCTTTCAGTGCCAAGGTGGAGGTTGCAGGGCTGTGTTGGTTCAGAAGTGTTGAACCCAACCCTTTGAGAACCACTGGGCTGGGGCGAAGACAGCAAATGCAGTAGCCATACAGCAACAGTGACGAGATGTCCGAAGCCAACAGCCTCTAAATGGGTTATTGCTGGCAAAATAAGTAGTTTGACTAAAGCTGCATCTGCTGTTTGCAGCCCCACGCCACGAGCAAGCGGGGGCTCTACCTGCTGCTCCCTGCAATGCGGCGACTATGTCAACTTCTGACACACCCTGACCCACTTCGAAGGACCGGGGGGGTGAAATCCAGGGCGGGCTCTTGCCAAAAGTGCTGGTGCACCACACCCATAATGCAAATGGCACAGAAGTGAGACATCAGCCTGGCTGGGTTGCGCTGCATCCCCTCCTAGCACAGTTCAGCTGATACGGTTGGTAACGTAGGATAAAAGCCAAAGCAGCAGAGGACAAGCCTTGGCAAAATCCCTCGACTAGATTCATTCCTAGGGCCCAGAAACTTAGCAGCTGCTTCGACTAGCCCCAGGTCAAAAATGAGATGTGTTAGTAGCATGGTAAGAGGAAGCTGAATCAGCGTGATCTAGCATGGGCTCAGCTTTTGCTGATTCAAACAAGTTTCTTGCTTTCATTTGTCACATTCCTGGTTTTCTTCGTCATCTGGAACCATCCTAACAGGTGAAGCTAGCAATCCTCTGTGTGGTGGAGCGGTGTGGAGGTCCCACTCCTCCAGCAAAGCTTTGGTTTGCTACTGCAGGTTGTAGGAGCAAATAATTGGGAGTGCTGTAGGTATCCTGTGCCTGCACCCATGAAGCCGGCAGTACAGTGAGGATCCCGCGAGCATGTCAGCATTAGCTTAGATGGCTGAAATCCAGCAATAAAACTCTCCCGTGCCCCAATGGGAGCAGGGTTTTGCTGTCACTGATAATCCTGGGGAGCTTCCACCCGGACCTGGACACAGGCATGGGTGAACTAAGTGGCCACCTGGGACCTGGACAGAAAGGGGGGCCTGAAAATGAACACAAAATAAAAAAAATTACAATTGCAAAAAAAAAAAAAAGGTTGCCAGTCACACACATGTGCAATATTAAATGTTATCAATTGAATACAAACATGGATACCACAGATGTGATAAAGACTTTTGCAACAAAGTCTTGTCTTGCTGGGATCCTATGACCCCTGCTGACTTCCTGCCCCTGGGGTGCGGGGCTGGACATGAAGATCTTCCGAGGTCCCTTCCAGCCCAAATGTCTATGACGTCTATGAAGCAAAAAAAATCATTATCTTTGGCAAAGGGGGAGCCAATACAAAAAGTTCGCCCAGGGCTGCCAGGAGTCTAGGTACGGCATTGCTTCCAGCCTTATGATCAATGTGTCCAAAAGGTAGTTGCAGTTCCCTGCACCCCTAGTTGTGCCCTTCCAAGTGGGACCAGGGCACCAAGTGGATCATTAGGTGCTGTGATCCTCTTTCCACTCGTTCCTGTTTCCTTAACCACTCAGCAAAATGAATGAGCCCTGTATCTCCAGTCGAGTTAACAGCGTATAGAAGAAAAAGTGTCATTTCCAAGTACCTGTTCTAATCTGGGGCAGGGCAATGGCTTTATTGTAGCTTCCTTCAAGCAGAACGGCATTAAGGAAATAGTTCAACATTAATATGCTGTGATAGCAAATAACAAAAGAAGGCCCAGGGTGGAAAAAACAAACAAGTCGGTCCGCATGCTCTGGGTGCAAAGGTTAGTGCTGACATGCAAAGGCAGAGCCGCTTGCTGTCACCCGACCTGTAAATCACCTGTCCTGCTGCTTGCAAAGCACGTGCATGGATGCAAAGCGGAGCCAGAAGGAAGTATCCGTGTTGTGGGCTGGGATGCAGGGCTCAGAGGCTTGGGTGTCCTCGGGGAAGGTGAGGGATCAGGAAGCCTGATGGGACTTCTCGTTTCTCTGGCCACCCCCCTGCTTAGATGCCGGGAACTCAAGAGATGCTTCCCCTTGCTTGCCGTCTCTTCCACGGTGGGAGGGACATGGGGAAGGCTGAGAGCACATCCTGTACCCCTGGCCAAGCATTTAGTACGCAGTGAGGGGAGCACATTGGAAAGCCAAGTGATGCCACTGAAGCTAGTCCAGAGCACAGCTCTCTATTAGCTCAGAGCTGAGAGCGACGTCAGCAGGCAACGAACGCCGATGGGACCGACACCTCCATGGACTTGTCCAAAGCCACCAAATCTTGCATCCAGGCTCCACGCGGGCGGTCCTCCTGCTAGGGGCTGGAGCAGCCAGTTGGGCTGGGGTGTGACATTTAGGGAGATGGGGAGGGAATCTGCTTCAGCACAAGCCTGGTGACCCAACCAAGAGCCCTTCTCACACCCACTCGTGCAAATATACTTCTGCCGGTGCTACGTTAAACCCCATTCCTAAGAGGCTTGAGATAATACAACCTCGTATAAAGATGCAAATTGGATGTCTTGCCAAATGGGAATTTGCCACTTCCTCCCTTCCCCAACAAGCAGGGGCAGAGGATGTCCTTTCCCTGCTTGCCTTGTATCTCTGGAGTGGATGTGGGCAAGTACTGGTCTTGGGTAATCTCTTCTCTGCTAAGGGAAAGGCCCATCTGTGTTGTGGGCATTCAGACTGGCCCTTGTGACAGCTGCTAAAATCACCAGGGATAGGGTCGGTATTTGCAGGTCTCCTCTTGCCTGTGGCTTGCCTAGCCACACAAGCCGCATGCGGAGCCAGTTTGGCTCATGTTGTGGGATTGGACATCCTATGGGGCTTTTCTCCTTCCTTTGCATCGCCCCAGCCCTTGCACCCAGTGACAAGGACCGGCCTCATGCTCTGACCTGCCCCTTTGTCTGTCTTCCAGCTGGTATTTCAGCGGCATCAGTCGACATGAAGCCGAGAGGCTCCTTCTCTCGCCGCCCAATGAACACGGCTCCTTCCTCATCCGTGACAGCGAGAGCAACAAGGGGGAATATTCTCTCTCAGGTAACCCCAGGGACTTGGCGACCTGCTGCCTGTTTGCTCTCCATCTGCCGGTAGTCCATTTCTGTCTTTCCCTTTGGCACCCCAGACACCCCCACCCGACACAGCAGCAACACTTTGGTGAGATCAAGGCCAACTTCTTGGCCAAACCAACCCCATGCTCGATTTAGCTTTTTTTCCCCTCTTTGACTCAGGGGTGGTTATATGATCCATCCACGAGGGATCAGGGCCTCATTGGTCTCAGGCCAAGCTTTTGGGAGCAACAGGGCCATTGTCAAATGTAACTGTCCTGGAAACAAGACTTTTCTTTTCCATGAGCAGCTGCTGGGCTGAGTAACATGGGGCGTGGGGGAGGAGAAGTCTATTCAGGTTTTGCCATGTGTTATTGCTCAAAATGAATCCACTTCATCCCTGAAAGCGAGCTGGGAAGCCAGGACAAGTGTCACCAAGTGAAATGTGGACTGGGAAGATATCAATCTCTGTAGTACCGTGGGAAAGGAGTATATGCAGCGCTCCTCCAGGGATAGGCGCGCGTCATAAGCAGTTAAAAGGATTTAGCAACCTTTCCAGAGCGCTGAGCTGCAGGGCTTCATTCCCATGGTTTACTTCCTTGCTGGTCGATTATCCACCAAAAACAAAGGAGTCTTTTACTCCAAGTTATCCAGGTCTGATGCTCATCTCCCTTCCAGTGACCTAAATGTATTGATATTAAGGCCAAAAGGCAACAGTATGATCCAGTCAGATCTCTGCATGATGCTAACCACAGGATGCTATGCTATCCCTGTACATTTTTGCTTCAACCTAGTAATTTCTATATGGGCCCAGAGGATGCTAACCCTGTACAGTTTTGCTTCAACCTAGTAATTCCTATATGGGCCCAGAGGATGCTAACCCTGTACAGTTTTGCTTTAAACTAGTAAATCCTATATGGGCTCAAGCAAATATAGTTTGCTTGAGGGTTTGATGTATAGGCATGCCCTGTCCTTCATACACCGTTGTAGTGGTGAAGCTTCATCGTTATTAAAAATGCGCTTCTCTCGTTTGAATTCGAGCACCATCTGCTTCCACCCATCAGCTTTCCTCCTGCCTGGGTCTGCACAGTTAAATAGCTATCTGCTATTAGAAACTTCTCTTCCCTATGAGGGGATTGTAGATCATGAGCAAATCATCTCATAACCTCCCCTCTTAGAAAAGCTAAACAGATTGAGCTTTGTGAGTCTGGAAATCTGGAGGTCAGAGTTGCACTGGAACGAGTGAGTCCTGAGACAGACCAAGAATTGGCAGCATTACGGGAGAGGCAAGCCTCATAGGTACCTAAACTCAGTTTCCCTTTTGCTCTTTTATTCCTCTTTGCAGTCCGCAGTCAGGCGAAAGTCAGCCATTTCCGAATCTGCAAGTGTCCCGATGGCGGCCTGTACATTCAAAAAGGTCATGCTTTCCCCAGCATGGAGGAGCTGCTCGCCTTCTACACGGAAAACTGGAAAGTGATACAAAGCCCTTTGGTCAAACCCTGCATCCTCAAGGTCTGTATGCAGAAATTTAGCAAGTGCTAGTTGCCTTCAGCCTTTGCACATCTTAAGTCAGACCCTTGCCATTAACTCTTCCCTTTCTTCTTACCTTGGTAGATCCCATATTAGGTCTTGTAGGTTTTTCTGCGGTGTGGGGCAGATGATTGATTTTCATTGTGGGGAGGGCGGGGGGTTTACCTGTGCGAATCCGGGGGTTTGAGAGTCCAGGCAAACACAGATTCCTGAGAGAAGCCACGGGTAGCCTTCTCTAAAATGAGTTGAAATTTTACTGGTAAAAACTGGCCTTATGTAAGCAAAACAAAAAAAGCCAATGCACAAAGAACTGGAAAGAGTTCAGGGGAAAAACCTGAGGGAGGTGGGGGGAAAAACAAAGGCAAAAAATCTGTTAAAGGAAATGGAGAAATTTTGAAGAGAAAGAAAGTGAAAGGCATTTTATTGACATTGTTTGCACTCACACCCCTGTATAATTGTTCACTCCTCTCCAGCTATATTCTTTAGTCAATTAAATGCTGAAAGCATAGCTGCTCTCTTATCCTCCCATCAGCTTCTTTGATCTGGAGGGTTAATTAAAGGGTTGCGGAGCTTCACTTGTGTTGGAGCTTTTATCTGGCTCTCCTGTGCCCCACGCTGTAACTGGGTTGCAGAGGTCTTGCTCGCAGGCTGAATTGGCAAGGTCAGTTAAATGCACTGGCCTAAGGACTTAGGTGCCCACTGAAACCCATGGGGATCTTTCCATTAATGATAGCAGGTCATCCCAGTGAAGCAGGCTCCTAGATGAGTGGAGGGACCAAAGGCAAGCAGCCTTGTCTACATGCTTTCTTCTCTCCTGATGAAAAGCAGCACCATGCCATGTAGCAGAAACCCTGGTTAAATCCAGCCTCTGGATTTAACCTCCTTGCCTGGAAGGCCTTCTGGTGTGTAAGGAAGGCAGCAAAGGGTGGGATTTTCCCAACAGAACCATTTTTGGTCCAAAAATGTCAATCCTTCTGAATCGGCATTTTTGCCAGTCCTACAACCTACACCCCTGTAATCCTTCTGAATAACATTCCCCAGGAACGTGCTAAGTTGAAACCAAATGTCCTTTCCCCCTAGCTGGAAATGGCCTCTCTTCAAAGTTTGCCATATAATTTTACAATCGTAACGATAAAATTGAAATGATCCCGATCATTACAGTTGCTTCTTTTTATCTTTCAAACACAATCAGTACACCGATTAGGAGCCCACTCACAAATGTTCAAATCACCTAGCTATTCGATAGCTATTTTGCAATAATTGTATCCTTCTAGAATATAATTTAATCATCAAGATAATGGTTAAAACATAATGTTACAAATAATGCAAAGCTCCATGTAAAATAAAGCTAAAATCGGAATCGGGTATTCCTATTGGCCGGAAACGGATTTGTTTTGGAGGTGGAATTTTGTTCTGCAAGAAATCTGGAAAGTCTGACTTTTGGGGTCTGAGTTGAACTGTGAGAGTATTGCCAAGCATTGGGAATCCCACGTTTCAGCCAGCTCTGCTGACAGATGGAGTTTGCAATAGGCTGAGTCCAGGTTGCTTACGAGGCCGGCCGGTCAAGATTTAACGACACAGGCTAGGATTAAAGTTATAGGTGCAATGATGTCTCTTGGGCCAGCTGACATGCTGCTCCAAGATGCATTCCCCTTGCAGCAGCTTCCCTGCAGTCATACTTCCTGCAAGGCCCAAGTTTCTCCCCCAAGAGACCAGAGCCTCCAATGCCTCCAAGCTCTTGTCCATGGGGCACCCTGGTACCCAAGTGTGTCCCATTTGAACCAGGATTTCATGGAAAGCTTCCCAGGGCACACTTGAGAACCAGAGGTGAGGACAAAGTTGAGGAGAAGCAGCACAAAGACCTGCCATTGGAAGTAGCCTGTGGGTAAGAGACTGTGTTGGCCACTAGCATGGTGCTGAGCCTGCCCTTTTATGCACAGCATCCTGAGCCAGCGGCCCTGGGTCTCAGAGCTGCCTCTTCCAGGATAGTTGGCTGGCACAGGTCTGAAATGAAGTGTTGTTCTCTGTGCCTGTGCTTTCGACAGACACTCCCTGAAAGGGATGAGTGGGAACGGCCCCGGTCAGAATTCATCCTCCGGAAGAAGCTGGGAGAAGGAAACTTCGGTGAGGTGTGGGAAGGTCTCTGGAGGAGCACGGTGCCAGTAGCCATCAAAATAATTAAGCAAGGTACGCAGAAAGGGAGGCCGAGAACTTTTCACCTTGTTCCCTTTTGCCCCGATGCAGTGTTGTGACAATTTCTTCCCTCTGATTTCCTTCCCCTTGGTCACCAATGATTCAAAATGAGGGTGGGAAGGGAGCTCAGGAGGTCACATCTAGTGCACCCCCCTGCTCAAAGCAGGACCAGTCCCAACTACATCATCCCAGCCAAGGCTTTGTTGAGCCAGACCTTAAAAACCTCCAAGGATGGAGATGCCACCACCCCTCTAGGCAACCCCTTCCAGTTCTTCACTATCCTCCTAGTGAGAGTTTTTCCCAATATCCAACCTACACCTCCATTGCTGCAACTGGAGCCCATTGCTCCTTGTTCTGTCATCTGCCACCACCGAGAACGGTCCAGCTCCATCCTCTTTGGGACCACCCTTCAAGTAGTCAAAGTACCTTCTTGTGTCAGAAAGAATAGCCTATTTGGAGATAGGACCTCATGTCTGGTGTAGGCAAACCCTTGACATGCCCGCATGCCACTGAGGTGTGTGAAGAAGCAGGTGTGTCCTATGCAGCTGATGCCTTTAGAGCACAACTTGTCTTCCACCCTGTTGGTCTGGTGGCCTTATCTTGAAGCATTGAGCTCCCAGCCCACTCGGTCCCTACCTGAGAGAGCCATCTCAATCAGAAAAGATCAATCTCCATAGCGGGCTTGGGGTGATTGAGGGTAGGTGAGAGAGTGTGAGCCTGGAAAGCTGGAGGATCGAACTGGGGGGAAGGTGCATAGCCAGGAAAGCGGGTTTCCACCCCAATATGCGGAAGCCCATGATGGAAAGGGCAAGGCTGGACTCTGAGAGGGGGGTACTACTCACCTTGGGGGTACCATCTTGTTTCTCAACAGCTGACATGAAGGCAGAAGATTTCACGAAAGAGATTCAGAATCTGAAGAGCCTGAAGCACGAGAAGCTGATCCAGCTCCATGCCGTCTGCTCCCGGGGCGAGCCGGTCTTCATCATCACCGAGCTCATGAAGAAAGGCAACCTGCAGAGCTACCTCAACAGTCAGTACCGCCCTGCCCTTTCCACTGCGCACCAAGGGGGCAGGCAGCAAGCTTGCTGCTGGATAGCCATGCTCAGGCTTGGTCAAGCTGCCTTTGCGGCTCAAGGATGACCTGCCTCTGCCTTGTTCAGATTCAGCTGGTCAGCTGTAGTGAAAAGAGAGGGCAAGCCAAACTCTGCTCTCAGACACAGGTGCAAAGGCCCTGCAATCAATGGGGCAGGTCCATGGTTGCACCAGTGTGAAAGACAGCAAGTTGTAACTCTGGGCGCAGACAGAAGTGACATGTCACATGATCGGCCTCTTGAAAGGGCTCTACAGCCATGCCCTTACAGAAGTGCACAACTATAAAGCACTTTAAAAGTCCCTGATTGCGTGACAAATTAACCCTCGTTATGTGAGGCCTGGTCTGTGCATGTCTTTGGGATCTGGATAACTCCCTTGTTCATGCACAAGGTTTAGTTTTGGGTTTTTTTACCCGATATATTAGGCTGGAACATTGTAAGCCTAGCTGGGTCAGTATAAAGGTACCTTGTAGCAGTGTAGTTTGTCTCCTCTTGGATGAGAACAGGCTAAGACATCTTTTTCACCAGTACCATTGTGACTGTGCTGGTATAATGAAAGGGGTACAACTATTATGTATCCTTAAGCACCATGAAGACATCTGTAGTTTGAGCTCCTAGCTTTGCTTGGAGCACATCTCTAAAAGGTGTCATAGTGTTCACATATTCAAGCAAGTTGACTGGCAAAGCACTTTGGGTGCTGGTTCATGGTTAGCTACATAGCTTGTTTATGGCGGTGGGTTCACCTGGACCCTGAGAGCAGGTTTTTCTAACACACGTGCATGCACACATTGTCCAAGAGATGTGTTTTACTCCGATAGATGTATACAGGATCGGCATCCAATCCCCAAACCGCCCCCTAATTAGTTCTCAGACTTTCATTCATGTGCGAAACTGGTAAAAGGGCAAGTCTCCTCCCATCATCTTGACTCATCAGCAGTGAAACAGCTCAGCAAAGAACGTGCCAGTGGTACTGACTTCTCTCAGTCTTTCCTTTCAGTCTCCCAAGCAGTAAACAGCCCTGGAGGGAAACGAGTCCAACAACTTCTAACCAGAACTTGCTCTTCCACTGCTCACGTCCCCCTGCACTGAGTCACTTGACCTCGTTTTGGGCTCTGTCTCCAGCTGGGCTTTATTATCCCAGCAGCAGAAACTCCTAAGTAAAAGGATAGGTTCAGAAATGCAGCTCTCAGCTGGGAGGCAGGTGTCTACTGATCATGAATTACTTGACAGAAATCAGCTTCCTTTCTTGCAACACACATCCTCTCCCAGCTTTGAACTGCCCTCCCATCCCAGTCCAGGAGATTATGCAGGTGTTTAAAGCTGGAGCAATGGCATACGCGCTTTGCAAAATTTCAGTTTTCAAGGGTTTGGTGGGATCAGTCTCAAACAAAATGATCTTTGTCCGTCACACTTTGGCTCAACAGGTCTGGAAGGGAAATCCCTGAGCACCCTCCACTTGCTTGATATGGCTTGCCAGGTTGCTGATGGGATGACGTACCTAGAAGAAAAGCACATCGTCCACAGGGACTTGGCAGCTAGGAACATCCTCGTGGGAGACGACCTCACCTGCAAAATCGCAGACTTTGGCCTCGCCAGGCTTCTCAAGGTTGGTCTATTGGGAGGTACTGGCCCGTTTCCCTCATTCATTTCTGCATCCCTTTCCCAACCCCAAAGAGCTCCCTTGCATGTCTTTCAAAGCACCTTTGAGTTGCCCTGAAACAGCCTTCCTGGCAGCTCCATCTCTCCCCACCATGCCTCCTTTCTCAGTCTCCCTAAAAATATGTGAAACCCAAACACTCAAGTTCAAACCTCTCCCTATTTAGAGTGGGAGGGAGATATTGAAATGTGTCTTCCAGTTATGACTGGTACCATAATATCTGCTCACCACCACCTGGTCACCTCAGATCAGTGTTGGTGGAGGAATCCAGGTGGCTTGGCCCTCTACCCCTCACCTTGCTTTGCCTTTGAATAGAGAGGGCATATTGGGTTGGTGTCACCTCGACTCAAGGCCCTGTCCTGGTTGCTTTCCAGGACGATATTTATTCCACCAGTGGCAGCACCAAAATCCCAGTGAAGTGGACAGCCCCAGAAGCAGCCAACTACCGCACCTACTCACTGAAGTCGGACATTTGGTCCTATGGCATCTTGCTGTATGAGGTCTTCACCTATGGCCAGACACCATATGAAGGTATGGCTTCATCGTCCTGTCTCCCCAGGATCTGGGTGTCCCTTGATTGTGTCCCCCTTTATACCAAGCTGCTCTCCGCTCTCCTTGCCACGCTGATCACGTCCAGCAGACATCACTGATGGGATTCATCACGAGCCCCTTACCACCCATCAGTGCTGCCAGGAAAGGAAGTTTTCAGCCTAGCACCTAGAGAAGATGCTACCCAACCTGGAGATGTTAAAAGCAAGTTGCTTAAAGCAGGTTTCATATCTGTTTGAGATGCATTGGATAGAAGATTCAGCAGTGAAGGGGGAGCTGCTAGATCCTTTATATAGCACGTGTTTGGGATTATATTTAGTCTAGGGAAGAGAAAATTGAGAGGGATTTGACCTGCTAAGTCTTCAAAGAGAATGTGGACCCATTCTGCTATGTCTACCTGAGATGGGACAAGAAGCTGTGGTATTCAACTGCAGTGATATTAGGTATGAGGAAGTATTTGCTAACTCAGAGGCTGGCTAAGCAATGGAACAAATGGTGTAGAGAGGTATGAACTTTTTCTTTCGTCATTGGGAACTTTCCTTCAAGTTCAGGTGAGATAAACATCCGTCTGACGTGGGTTAGACTGAGAAGCTCCTGCCTCGAGCAAGGCATCAGACTAGGTACTCTCCTCAGCTCCTGTCTGGCCATCTCTACCCGATTCGGGGAGCAAACCTGATGTGCAGGTGGCGATTTGGGAGCCCTTGCTTGCACAGAAGGGTCCCTGGGCATTGCTTGCTTTTGTTCCCTTGCAGGAATGACGAACCAAGAAACCATCCAGCAGATCACCAGAGGCTACCGCCTGCCCCGGCCCAGCACGTGCCCTTCGGAGATCTACCTCGTCATGCTGGAGTGCTGGAAGGGGAACGCCGAGGACCGTCCCACCTTCTTCGCTCTGAGAGAGAAGCTCAACTCCATTTACAGCCGGGTGTACAAATTGTTCTCCTGATGGAAACCGGCCGACGCTGCCCCGTGACAATTAGCCCGAGTGACCTCCCCATGCTCGCGGCATGCCGCAGGACTTACTGCAGGGCTTCGCTCCAAAAGACCTCTGGGAGCAGAGCTGGAAACGCACCAGGGCTTCTCCTTGGGAGGCCCAGGAGAGAGCATTGACTGTTGGAAGAGATCAGCTCTGGGGATGTTGTCTGGCTGCATCCCAGAGAGCAGAAGGACTCTTCCTTGTAGATACTGTACAGCAAAGGTGTCAGCCTGGGCGTGACACATCCCAACTTGGAAACAGTCGGTTTGCCTTGTATAAACTAGTGGCTGATGCTAATTTATTTGCCGTGTGCATCCGATGTATCTATCAATAAATGTGCATCCAACCATCCATCCTCCTGCAGCCGGGGTCATTCTTCAGCATATAAATGAATACCCATGCACGTTTATACCCAGGACAGCCGCAGACCCGTGACTGGCCATGTTGTAGTTGAGTACAGTTTTGTCGTGCTGAGAAGCCCTGACTTCTCATGGGCATTGCTGTGGTTTGGAGACATCTAACATCAGGGAAGCAGTTTGTAGACTCAATCAGCTACAGGCCTGAAACTTGGTGATGTCTAAACCCAGCCAGCCTTTGGGGTTCCCTCATCAATCATTCCTGGAAGCATCGGTTTTCCTTCCTCCTGCCAGCGCGCGTTCAACCCTCGCCTGGCGAGTGCCCTGTTTAGCCTGCAAGCTCTTTCGAGCAGACACTTGCTTTCTAGGTGGTTTTTGCCAAACACTCATTAACCCCATCTTCAAAACAATAATCCATCATCGTCACTAGCTCCTAGAAGGCAAGGAGAGCTGAGCTCAATCTCCCTGTCGTTAGCTCCATCTAAAGGCAGTCTTAAGCAGGGCAGTCTCCATATTCACGTTTCTGTTGCAAAGGGTCCCTGTACATTTTTTTGTCCTGTTCAAACATATAAACTTGCCCAAAATATCCTCCCTTTCTTCATCAGAGTGCAAGAGGATGGACTGTGAAGTGGCTGATAAATCCTAAAAAGAGCGTAGGAAAGAGGCCTCTCCAGTATAAAGGAAAGAAAATGCCTCTATCCCATAACAAGCATGCCTGAGTATCTTGAGGTCTAGTCTTTCATGCATTTATCCCCAGGTGAGGCGAGGAGGAGCTATTGTCCCCACATTATAGGTAGTGTCCCTGTGTCTTACTGACTAAAGAGGCAAGGTTTTAAGTTTAGCTGGGCATCCCAGGAGGCAGAGAGGTGTCTAGTGGGGTGGTCAGAGACACCTGGACATCTGATTGCCACTGAAATGAGTTGACAGGAAAGGCTTATGCAGATCCCACTCAGGCCCGTCTGCATTTTTGGCCACCTAGATATGTTGGAAACTGGGGCCCCGTGTATCCTTCCCAAGGCCATGGGTGTGATGTGGAAGGGAGATCTCTCACAGCCCTGCCTAGCATGCTGTCTGCTGGGCCACAAGCAATTATGCCCCTTTCTGTACCATTATGCCCCTTTCTATACATCTATGCCCACCACCATTATGCCCCTTTCTATACACATGGCACAAAAGAGAAATGAATCAGAAGATCCCCTGCCCTGATCCATTCACCCGTGGTATGCACGAGTGAAAGGAAGGAGAAGCACAGAGCAAAAGCCTGGGGGAGCGTGTGGAGCCTGGATGCAGTCCCCCAGAGCTCCTTACCCCACTCACTTGCTGGAAAATATGAGTCACAAGTCATTTCTCTTCCTCGTGCCTCAGTTTCCCCTCCTTTCTGTAACAGGGAGGCTCCTCTCTGACTTCCTCCTTCCCTTTCTCTTCTCTTCACCCCTGTTGTAGCCCACAGGTGAATCCTTGTGCAACACGGGGAACTCGCACACGGTGCCTGGGGCTGACCCCTTGGCCCTGGGTCATCTGAGACGTGGCGGACAAGTGCAGGGCTGCCTCCCTTCCTCCTGTTTGCATGAAGAGGAGTGGCTCGCAGACCCAGGCTGTGTTGTAGCCGGAGGAGGAAGTCCAGAGTGCATGATTTCAAGGTGTGTTCCTCACCTGTCCCATCTGACCTGTCTTGGCTGAGATGAGTTGGCAGAATTACACAAGCCTCTTCAGAAGGCAGGAGGAACCGGGGCAAGGCAGCAGCAGGAGGCCTTGGTGAGCCTCTTCCAAGAGCTCGAGCCTGGGAATCTGCAACCACGTTTCCTTGGCTCTGATGCCCACGAGACCCAGCTTTGGTGGCAACTCAGCTCTTCCACCTGCCCAGCATGAGCTCCACCATCTACAGTGGCAACTCAGCTCTTCCACCTGCCCAGCATCTGCTCCACCATCTACCCCAGCCTCTGGGACTTCAGTGCTAGGATGGAGACAGAAATCAGCTTCAAGACCGGAGACCTCTTCGAGGTCATCGGGCAGGAAGGAGAATGGTGGTGGGCCAAGAAAGTGGACAGCTCTGGAAGGCGCCTGGCCGAAGGTTACGTTCCTTACAACTACTTAGCCAAGCAGGAGACGATGGAGGCTGAACCGTAAGTCAAACCCTGCTGCGATCGCCACCTCTTTCCTTCGGGAAGCCCGAGGGGAATGACAGGAGTGAGTCGCATCTCAGCCTAGCTCTGTTGGGTCTGAGGAAGCAGTTTGATGTTGATGTGTGCACGCTTGAAGAGAGAGGTTTGGGCTCAACAGGCTACGAAAGTCCTTTATTTGGGATATCGATTCCCTGGAGCTGCTGTCCAGCCCGGCTTAACATGTTGCAACCACAGCAATGGAGGGCAAGGCCAGCTTCCAAAATGGGTTGGTTTTTTTTAGTTTGTTTGAGTGTTTTCTACTGTTCCCTTATTGCTGCATACAAGGGAAGACCTCTAGCAAGGTCTTTCAGAGCCAAATTCATGCATGCATGTGCCACTCTGAACACCCTGTGTAGCTGGGCACAAGCCCAGTGCTGTTAGCTGGGGAAGCTCAATGTCGGTGATTTTGCATTCCCCTAGATAGCACCCGGCAGGTGAAGAGTTCAAGTGAATTCAACCCTTATTCTCTGGCCATAAATCTCAGAGATATTACAGAGCCAGATTACAGAGATTACAGAGCCAGATAAATGGGTTTGAATTTAACTTCCCTCTGGAGACTGGCACTGGCCAGCTGATGCTCTGTTATTCTCTACCTTATCCATCAGACTCATCTGCAAAGGTTGGCGGGGCGGTATGGGCTAGGAAAAAGGGGAATCTGAATGAATGAGTGGGTCCTAGGCAATGTGATTAGCCAACAGGAGGATGCACGCTTGCAGCCATGCTGGTGCCAAGGCTGAAGGCAAAGGCATGAGGGAAAGTTCAGGGAACTGGGATCTGGGTGTTCCCTAAATGCAAGGGAGCTGGTCTCTGTGTTTCTGGATCTGGGGATCAGGGTCCTGTCATCCTCTGAAGTTGGAAATCTATAATCGGGGCAAAGCAAAACCCTAGCAGGCTCTGGGTTGCTAGCTCTGCAGCACAGTCCCATACGCTAACACCCCAGAGGGAGTCATACCATACTCTGGTCTCTTCCTCCAGATGGTTTTTTGGGAAGATCTCACGCTCGGAGAGTTTGCACCTGGTGCTGGCGGACAGAAACCCAACTGGGGCCTTTCTGATCCGCATCAGCGAGAAGAAAGGAGCTGAATACGTGCTGTCAGGTAAAGGGACCGGGTTTGCCTTCTGTCCCCGCTCTGTGGTTCAATGCCAGCCTTTTGGCTTCTCTCTCTGCACCTGGGATTTCACTCTGTATCCCCTTCTCTGTGCTGGAGAGACACAGCCAAGTTGATTGTCCTTGAAATGATCCTTTGTAAAACCTACCCCTTTCTGATCAAGCCTTTTCATTCAGGCTCTGTCATGTTTTGCAAAATGTAAAGCGGTTGTTTTTGTGGGGGGGAAGGGGTTGGTTTGTTTGATGGTTCCCCCTTCTTGCTACATACAAGACATTTATCCCCGGTAATAAAAATCCTGACTCTGTGGCCACACCAGAGAAACAGTGAAACCACATCAGCAAAACCTTTTCAACTGCCCAAAGCAAATAAACACGCTTCTTCCTTATTGATGGTTCTTCGCTGTTACTCCAGGGTGTACAGAGGTTTGGTCTCCAATCTGATCATGTTGGCAATGAGAGCCCGTACAGCTCTTTCCATTGTATAAGACAGCGGGAACCAGGAATCTCAGGCTTATTCTGGTCCCTCAACCCCTGGCAAATACATTGAGTTGACTTTCTTGATCCCATCGGCTGAGATCTAGCACTTAAACTTTAGGTCCACTGGAGCTGCCACTAAAAATGCAAGGACTTAGGCAGACAAGGTTCTTTGGGTAAATCTGATATCTTTTATTAGAATAACTCAAATAGTTGGAACAATTCTTTGCACGCTTTCGGGTATAAATACCCTTCGTCAGGCTGAGGAAGCATCTGCAGCTGGTGTGTGCTCATTTCTCCAAGCTTTTCTGGCAGGAGCTCTGTTCTCCTCTGCTATTGCAGCAATCCACCCTCTTACTGCTCAAGCCTTTCTCCTATATCCTCCAAGGTCAGGGCCAACCCCACTGTTTCATTCTTCTTCAAGGGACTTTCCCCTTCTTCCTTGCAACGGGGGCTGGAAAAGGGCCCTGTTGCAAGTGCCCACAACCCCAGCTGGAATCCGTAAGAGCATCCTATTGCTCAGCCTCTCTGAACAGATGGCATTTTCTTAGCTGGTGATCATCATGTCTCATACTGAAGAGCACGAGAGGTGGGAAGACTCTGTTCAGCCCAATCCCCTGCAGCAGCAAAGATGCTGCCGCAAGTGATAGATGCGCGAGGAGCCGCTGGTTCCCCGTGGCTTGCTGTCGGTTGCTGCGATTGGGAGGCGTCCTTGCCTTGAATGACTGCTTTGTACTGAGTGCTCATCCTGCCTCTCCCTGGTTTCGCAGTCCGGGATGACTCCGTGGTGAGACACTACAAGATCTGGCGGGGCGCCCAAGGGAAGTTTTACATGAACAAGGCGCAGTCGTTTCCAGATCTGCCCAGCCTCGTGGAGTGCTACAAGGCAAAGAGCCTCTCGCACGGCCTGACGCTGACCATCCCCTGCTGGAAGGTAAAGCCCGTGCTGGGAGCCGATGGGTGGCTCCAGGGATGCTGCTTGTGGTAGAAATGAGAACATGGCAAGGCGGGATCCCAGCACAGGGAGGTGGTGAGCCCAACACAGGCACGTTCGGGGCAAATCTCGTGGTCTGTTCTTACAAAGAAAATCAGACTGAGATGGTCCTTCTAGGATTGGTCTCGATGGACAAGACCAGGGGGTTGATAGCAGAGGACTGGGGTTAGCTTTATGCACACCATTAAACCTCTATTAGTGGTAAAAAGACTTATGCCCATTATTGTGATGTCCTCACCCAATAGATGCCATGTTAGCATGAGGGACCATATGTCCAAATGTTTTATGCACATTACTAAACCTCTATTTGTGGTTAAGACTAATGCCCACTATTGTGATGTCCTTACTTAACAGATACCGTGTTAGCATGAGGGACCAACTGTCCAAATGTACTTGCTTGCCTAAAAATGCAGATGGGTGCCTAATGGGATTTCTGAAAGCATTCAAGCAAATTATGAACTCCCATTAAAATCAAATACCTTTGAAAAAAATCTCACCTTACCTCTGCTCAGTCATCAATGAGCATCCTTGTCCCATGAAGAATTAACCCCAACATGGGGGGGACCCCTTGGAAATCTATTCTGATGTTTCTTACAGAGCGAATAGTCTGCAGCTATTTCAGATCCGATGCTGAGCTAATCTTCTGCACCTATTTTGGATCAAGGGTGGGGGGAATTTTCCCAATCTGAAAAACTGATTTTTTTTTTTTCCTTGCAAATGTTTTACCATTTAAGGAGAGAAATGCAAAAGGAAATAAAGCAAATGTTCACCATTTATTTTCCACATTTTCTGACAGTTGCTTATCTGTAGTTACAGTTCGTAGATATGTAGGGAATTCAGGAATGCACATTTAGAAAAATTGATTTTTTCAGGGATCTCATGTAAGAGGCCGTAGGGCCTCAACTTCAGATGTGTGAGCACTCTTAGCTCCCATTACCTAAATTAGCTTGATGTTCAATGGTCTCCGTGCCTTGGAAACACTACGAGACTGAGTGTCGGGAACAGGCTCGTGTCGGCTGGGAAATGGTTTCCATGACCCCATGGTCTTGCCTAGCTCCAAGCTCCATAATTACATTTGCTACCACAGGGATTTAATGATAAGGTTAAGACCCACCTGCTGTTTAACAACCAGATCTGAAGTGGTCTAAAACTTGCATGGTTACTACTGCACCTGTAACCCCTTTGCAAAGTGCACAGAAAGAGCGGGTGCTTCATTGTGGGCAGCTCAGAAGAAAAGGGTGGGAGGGAAGTCCAGTGGTCCCTGCTTCCCCTTGCTATAGCATGACATCATTGGACTGGTTGGCTGGGGTTTTTTTGCATCCCACCCAAAATGATTGGTCATCTTCCTCCAACCTCTTCCATTAAATCACTGATTCTCAACCTCGATAGACTCAAGGTCCCCCCTCCCCCTTAGAAAATACAAGTTTTTAGTTTTCACTTGTTTTTTGACTGTAGAAAGTGAGAGCAATTCTTCTCTTCCAAAGAATATAAAGATCGCAGCCGGTCCAAATGGCTTTAATAATATCAATGCTTGTTTGAAATGTCTGAGTTTATCTTGTGAATCCTGTTTGCACGCCTAACGCTGTGCAGCACCCCTCCTCAGCACCCTTGAAAGGATCGGGTCACCCTGGTGGAGAATCACTGCATTAAGTAAATCATCCGGGACACAGCAGTGAAGACTGGTTACAGAGCCAACACTACCATCTAGCGACTCTTTATGTGTTACACCAGTTCTTTCAGTACTCGTGTATGTACACTCTGTTATGTAGCCCTCATCCTGTTCAATCCTCTCCTTCAGAAATCAAACACACAGGACTAAATGAGTCCCTGGTGTAAGCCTCTTGCAATCAGGGGGGTTATAGGAGAGCGTATGCAGCCAATTAGTGCATAAACACAAGTGAAGGGAGAGATCAGAGGCAACAGGATGGCAAGAAATTAAGACGTAGGCATTGCAATAGTATACAAGATAGGCAAAGGGTGCGGATGTGGGTTGAAGCTTTGCAGAGAGTGAAGATGTGGTCACCAATCTCACCATTTCTAACGATGCCCATTTCATTAAGCCGGACGTTTGGATAGAGAGGAATTCTGATCTTTAAGAAATGAGTTCTCATTTGTTTTGGAAGGGTGGATGCAATTTTTACTTGGCCAAATAGCAGGGGTTTGCTGCTTGCAGACAAGACCCCTTCACTTTGCGGCGGTGTATAAAAGAGAAAGCAGTAGTTTGCAATCAAGGGAAGTGTCTGTGGTCTAAGTACCAGTCGCTACATACATCATACACCACTTCATTAATAGGAGGTATACTCAGATCGCTGCAAGATTTGAGTGCCTTCATAGGAAGGACATGGTGGAGAATATGTATCCTGGGACATGGCTCTGTGGTTGTAGAATAGGCACAGAAATCACAGCGGTTGTTTCCCCCAACCCACTTTCTCAGGCTGAAATCCTATAAAGTTGTTCTGTCTTTGTTAACCTAGCAACAGCACGAACCTCTCCCTCACTGGGACGACTGGGAAAGACCCAAAGAAGAGTTTAGTCTGTCCAAGAAGCTGGGAGCTGGGTACTTTGGAGAAGTCTATGAGGGATACTGGAAAAACAAGGTCAAGGTTGCAATTAAAGTGATCCCCAAAGGTGAGAAGGAAAGAACTTGGGCTGGAATTGCTCCCCTTCAGGAGGGTAATGCAGAGCAGTGGTTTATCCTCCCTCTGCTATTGGTTTCTCTCTCTTTCTGAGTAGCTGAGACTGCCAAGCAAACTGAGTCTCTACCCTCCTACGGTCATACAGGAATTTGGGGGTGTCAGGAACGTCCTTCCCTACTGCAGACTGGCAAAGACTGTGGGGGTTTGGCCTTGCATTGCATGGTGGGACATGGTCTTGGACCTTGGGTTCTCCAAGTATCTATGAAGCAATCACTTCTCTGTAATGCAGTGGTCTCCCTACTCTTGTGGTAGGGTATCTTTGGTTTGGGGCCTTGTACTTGTATGTGAAGGTTCAAAGTGGTGATTTTGGGGGGAATCCTTGGGTTGATGACTTCCTACAAATGCAGGGGGCTGGGAGGCTCCATGCTGGCACCACTAGGTTGGTGCCTTGGGCACCAAAGATGTGTTCGGTATAAAGATCTCCATTTAGACAACTCATGCCCCCCTGTTCTCTCCTCCTGGCATGGGTCCTTCTCAGCGGACCTGACCTACCAGTGTGCATTCAAGAACGAGATTGAGACCATGAAGAAGCTGCGACATAAGCACATCCTCTCGCTGTACGCCATCTCCTCGGTCGGGGACCCATTATACATCATCACTGAGCTCATGCCCAAGGGGAACCTGCTGGAGTTTCTTCGAGGTAAAGATGTTTGAAGTAAAGCTGGGGGGCTGCCAAGAGACTTTGAACTGCAGAGTGTGGAGGAAGGGGTTCAAATGAACTTGTCTTATCAGGGAGGCCCCCAAGCATCCTGCCAGGGCTTTGACATGGGCTAGGGGGCTGGTTAGCTGCTCTGCACAGCCCAGACTGAGCACTGTCTGCTCAGAAGAGGACATTCAACTTCCACCAGGAAAGTGCTTTGGCAATGTGTGTGGTGCAGAGGATTAAGATGGCTCTAGGCTTTTGAAGACCTACATTTTTAGATGCAGGCACCCAAATGATCAATCCAGTCTTTTGATGAATTAAGGCCCAAGAGCCAATGAGTTTGGGGGCTCCTAAGAGACTCAGGTACTTTAAAAAATGTTGTCCCAAGGCAATTATAGGAAGGTCAAGTTACTTAAGCCATGTCACTCATTGCCTTCCATTTTCTGAGGGTGGTGGTGCTTCATTACTGGAATAAAATTAGAGACATAATTTTATCCTCAGAGTATCTCCCTGGGCTTCACTGGAGTTACAGCAGGGGTGGAAATGACCCACTGAATGTCAATGTCCATCCTCCAAAGAGCTGCAATATGAAGCTGACTTGTGTTAGGACAGAAGCCAAGGCTGAAGCTTCTTTGATGGCCTGGAGCTTTGCCTCCATCTATGCAGACAGGAGAGAAAAAATGTGAATGAGTATTGGTTGGAAAACTGGAACTAATACTTTGCAGGGCAGTTTTGGCTCAACGCTGGAAATTGTGTCTCAATTTACAAGCTAGAAAAATGTCAGCTCCATACGGTAGTGTGTCATGGGAAGTGTGTCTCTGCAGACTTCTGTTCACGCTTATGTGCTCCCTTTGCAACATCTCACATGTACTTCTTGTTGGCTCTCTTGTCCCTTTCTCATCAGAGTCGGAAGGGGAGGACCTGCAGATGCTCGAGCTGGTTGACATGGCGTCCCAGGTGGCAGACGGGATGTGCTACCTGGAGTCCCAGAATTTCATTCACCGAGACCTGGCTGCCAGAAACATCCTTGTTGGAGAGAACAACACCTGCAAAGTGGGTGATTTTGGACTGGCCAGGCTTATCAAGGTACTGTCAATCAACTCAGGCCTACAGAGGGTTTGGTTTGGTTTGGTTTGGTTTGGTTTGGTTTGGAGGGGGTAGAGAGGAATTGTGATTAATGGGCACCAAAGAACTCCCTCCATGACCTTCAGCTGTATGACAACCGAGGACCATAGATGGTGACCCATCGCCCCATCTGCACACCTCTGTTGTCCATGCCCTTTGCCTGGGGAAGATGCCATTGGAGTGATGTTAAAGTGCATCTAAATTTGAACCCATGCATGAGGAGAACAAGACGGGAGCATTCATCATGTTGCTCCCTCCTTAGGCTTCTCCAGCAAAGCAGTGTTTACTCATGTGAGTACTTCCCACCTGGTCTATGGGAGTGCTCATCAGGAGGAAGGTTCATGCACCTGGGCTGGCTCAAGCCTGATGCCCCTTCAATAGCTGTGATCTTGAAGAAGAAAATCCACCCTTATCTGTTGGCCTCCCCAGTGACCATGAATTGGTGCAGTTGCATTGAACAACCCCCTGCTATAGTACCCCCTCTTCCCCCTGCCCCCAGATTTGCCCTGTGGAAGCAGCAGGGCTCTGCCTTCATGGTGCATGCAGCTCCTTCTGCTCACAATCGCCTTGTGTTTGCAGGATGATGTGTACTTGTCCTATTCCAAAAATATCCCCTATAAATGGACAGCCCCTGAAGCCTTCTCCCAAGGACGCTACACCACCAAGTCCGACGTCTGGTCTTTTGGGGTCCTTCTGTTCGAAATCGTCACCCACGGGCAAATTCCATACCCAGGTACTGTGCCACTAATCTCAATTCGGGGTTTACATTTGAAGGATTACAATAGGAAGAGCTTGCTTTGGGTTGTGTTTAGGGGCCCCAGGTAATGATGTTAGTCAGGATCTGTGCTGAGAGGAGACCGGCATGTTGTGGGCAAGAAGTCGGGAAGGTGCTGCTCTTCCTGTTGCATCAAATAGCAAGGAGAGCTAAAGGTCAATGTTCCCATTCTGTCCTAAATTATAGCAACATTTGGATGCTTATCTTGCTGGGATCCTTTGACTCCAGCTGACTTCCTGCTCCTTGGGCAGGGGTTGGACTTGATGATCTTCAAGGTCCCTTCCAGCCCTAATGTCTATGAATCCCATCTGACACCCCGAGTGCCATGTAACTCAAAGCAGGACTGAGATCAGATGGGAACAAATGTTCCTCCAGCTGTCTTTTCCTTCCCTATTCATAGGTATGCAAAACAGTGAGGTTTGCAAAAAAGTCCAAGCTGGTTTCCAGATGCCCTGCCCACCAAAGTGCCCACCGACCCTCTATGGCATCATGCGCAAGTGCTGGCACCTCTTCCCAGAGCAACGGCCGAGCTTCAAAGATCTCTGCGGGCTGCTCCAGACTGTCACCAACTACGAGAACCCAGAGTGAGCACTCAACATTTTATTCACCATTTCCTTTCATCTCCTTCCAAGACCTGCATTTTGGTTATGATGGTTCCCTCTGTGACACGATACGCAGGACTCTGCTGCACCATGCCGTGCTGGCTAAGCAAAGGCTTTTCATTGCTTGTTCCTTGGAAAGCAGGAATACTTCTCAGTTTTTTCAGTGTCTCTCTGGAGTCTGAGTAACCTTCCTGGAAAGAAGGTATTTATGCAGAAGCAAGGACTCATGGCAGTTGTAGTCAACAGTTTGACTAAAGAGCCCTGAGAGATTCAGGAAGGGAATGGCACAAGGCAAAGCCTTTGGGGCTGATTCTTCCAGCAGTTTCCCTCTGTCCATGCTCCCAATGCACTTGACCCCTGCCGACCAGGCAGTTGTATGTGCTTGCTGAGCACCCAGAGGAGATGGTGAATCTTCACAGCACGCTTGGACGGTGTAAATGCTTAGTAAAACAATATACCAATAACATGCATGTCCCATAGGAGTCTCTATTGGACCCCTCCCACTGTGAGGAATAAAGGACTCTTGTCTCTTTGTTAGCTGAGCAAGGCTCCAGGGTCTTGAAAAGGAATGAGGGTGAACCCCTATATCTTGCTGTCATCACATATGTTGTGTATAGTGGGGTTTACCCCCCCGGGCCCAAAAGAGAACTCCTATTTCATTCTGCAACGTGTGGTTGGGAGCCCACAAATTGAACCACATCTTTGGGTAGCATAACTTATCTTTAACACTTTTTGTTCTGCACTAGATGCCTTGGTTAGAGTTGGGGGTGCTGGTTGTAGCTGTGTTGGTCTGAGGACATAGGCAGACAAGGCTGTTTGGGTAAATGTGATATCTTTTATTAGACCAACTACAATAATTCTTCTTTACAAGCTTTTGGGTACCAACACCCTTCAGGATGGAATCAGCCTTCTGCAAGTCCGTGATCATTGCCCCTTCTCTGCACTGGTGCCCAATAAAGCCTCAATAATACATGTGGGATTTGGGAAATAGAGGGGCAACTTCACAGAGGAGTTAAGGATCATCCCAGCCTTTGCCGGCACCTGCACAGTGGGGCAGCAGGGGCCTACATACCCTCGGTCAGCACATGCCCCCTCTCTCCCTGCACAGAGAGAGAGAAACAAACCCCAGGGTCACATCGCTTAATGCCTGAGACACCACGGGGAGGGGGTAAAAGAAGAAGGATTGGGGAAGGCAGGGCCACAAAGGTTGCAGTGTTTTCTGCCGGCAATTGGTGCTGGAAGCCAAGAAGGAAGCAAACCACATCTCTTTCCGTGTCTGCCTGGCTCAGGAAGAAAGCAATATGTCTGCAGGCTCATTGTCAGGGAGAGCAGCAATGCTAGCGGTAGCCCTTGGACCCAGCTGGGCCCTGGGCAGCGTGGGCTGGCGTGCAGCAGGAGCAAGGGGTTGCGTCCCACTGCATCCGGGCACACAGCGCAGCCCTGGCACGCGGCCCCTGCCTGTTTGCAAAAGGGAATGTGTCCAAGCCCAAGCAAGCAGCTGGGCAGCAAGGTGGAAAAACATGATCAGGAGCAGCTTTTGTGCCCACAGCTCAGGCTGGGCACAGTTCAGCTGAGGTCCTACCACGCCACAGGGAGAGCAAGGACGGGGCCTTCCCAGGTGCACATCTTCACAAAGGATGTTGTTATACACGATGTCCAGAGCTGCGAGCAAGTGGCACAGGGCCTCAGTTTCCCTTACTGCAGGCTGAGCCGCAGGGAAAAGAGCAACGCCCTGTCCCATGGATGTGATCCCACAGCAAGACGTGGGTTGAGAGCCCAGCACAATACTATGACACCTTCCCTTGCCCCAGGCAGGACTTGAACCCAGAACCTTACCCTCTGGTAGTATAGCTACAAATCTCATGTTACATGTTCCTCTTTCTGCCCCCTTTTGATCCTGCCCTAAGCACCTGACACCTCTTAATTGAGCTATTAATAGTTTACATAAGCCTCCCCCCATCCATAACATATGTTCATTTAGCCTTCATGAAGTTGCTGTCCTCCCCTGCCCAAGACACACACACACACACACACACACACACACACACACACGGCTTCTGTGGTCTCTAGTACAATGACATCATGTGCACCTATGAAACCCAGACACACGTACGCACACACATGCATGCATGCACATGCACACACATGTACACATGCACACACATGTACACACGCACACACACAACTTTTGTGGTCTCTAGTACAATGATACTGTGTACCCCTGTGAAACCCAGTACTCTCACTCTCTCTCTCTCTCTTGCTCTCGCTCTTCTGCGGTCTCTAGGACATTCGGTACAGACATCCTCTAGTACACTCCGTGCTCCTATGAGACTTGGACGCAGCACAACACACATCCTGCCTGCCCTGCACAGTGAGATCAAAACCACAGCAGAGGATCCAGCTGTTAGGCGCATGGCGTGATGACTGAGCAGCTGGCGGTGAGCCTTCCCCCCCATCCCCTTCACTGGGACGTGGGCGTATTGTGCGCTTCACACCAGCTGACACCCTGCAGCTCACTGATACCCACAATCGCCCACCCTCACAAACACCCGGAGGTGTTTTGGCCATGCACCCAACAGAGGAGGAACAAGTAGTGCTTTCCAGCACAAGTACACATGACTCATTGCCTTTATTTGCCTGTGTACAATGTGTGCCAGCATGTGACTGCTGCTAGGGCTGTTCCACAGCATGAAATTACGGCAGAGACAGGGCTTCTGCATCACCCAATGCTGGGGCTGCTGTTTTTTCAGCATGCGCCTAAGCCCCTTCAGCAGGGAAAAGACAAGAAGCATGTACTGCTACCGGCTGGGCTGGCCAGGGGTTAACCACCCCCACCCCAACTCCCCTTTTCCAAGCATGCTTCTTCTGGGGAGAGTTATCTCTGGCCTCCCCCAGTTTCAGGGGGAGGGTGGGAGTGGGTGTCTTCTGCATGGCATGGCTGGTGAAGGGAGGGCACCACACCATGCACCACCCAGCAGTGTAAAAACAAACTGTTAGAAAAGAAGGACCTATGTGATGCTTGCAAAGCACACCGCTGTTGCATATGTGTGTGTGTGTGTGTGTGTGTGTGTGTGTGTGTGTGTGCACATGCACGTGTGCATACGTCCATGCAGTTGTACATGCCTAGTCTGTATTGCTAATAAGCTCTCTGGAGCAGGGGCAGGCACTGCTTTATTCCTGAACAACACCTAGCAGGAGGCCTCACGCCCGGGGGACACATTAACTCGTGGTACCCTCTTACCAGTTTGCTCAGGGCTATTGCGTACTCCCTACTGGTATCAGTGCAAAAGCACCATATTGCAGTAGTGTAATTCAGGACTGGGTAACATTTGGCCCCTCCCGGGCAGAGCTGGACCACAAAGAGGGCCAATCCAGCCTGGCATGTCTGACCCAGCCTGGAGATTTGGGAGCTTGGGTTGGGGGGCACACGGCTGCCCATCCCCTCTACAAGCCTCCCTGGGGCATATCTTGCTGCAGAGGGGCCAGGGATTCCCTTGTGCTCTGGAGCGGGTGGCATGCAAGGACAAAAGTGTACCAAATCAGGACAAGGAGTCATCTGCAATGAGCTGATGGAAACCACCGCACCTGGCTTGTATAGGCAAAGTCACGCAAGGGCAGACAAGGTCCTTTGGGTAAATCTGATATCTTTTATTAGACCAACTCAAATAGTTGGAAAAAAAAATTCTTCTTTGCAAGCTTTGACACAAGGGTGGCATTTTTCAGCCTGGGTTTGGAGCAGGCCTTAAGCTCACAGCCCTGGAACCACAGCACGGTGCCGTGACCACCAGCCTCTGCTTGCTAGGTAGTGCACTCCTGTGTTTCTTGGGGTATGTGCAGCCATGGAGGGGGGCTACCCATTATATGCCTGCTCATTTTTTCACACCGGCAGAAAGGCAGGTTACCACGTGGATGTGCCATGTGTCCAGGCCTTTCATTTTGGGTGCTACTTCCAACCCGCAGACCGGACCTCAGTGGAATGGCTGGTCTCACATACAAATGAAGTGGGGAAGTGGATGTGCAACTGAAACCCCCCAAGCCTGGCTACAGACCCAGGAGCAGTAGGAGTCACTGATCTGCAGAGACCACCACCAGCTGCGTGAAGACTCCCAGGGAAAGCCAGGATGTGGACGATGGATGGCGGCAGCAAGATTTCACATCAAGCCCAATGACTGGAAAGGTGGCGAGACTCGCCAGATGGGCAACGTGACAGTATGAGTCACGCTGCACCAACCACAAGTGGATACCAACTTTGAGGAATGCCTGACTGAGGAACCCAGAGCACTAAAAGGAAAATGAACTGAAAAGCATTGTTGAGAGCAATGAAATCACGTTGGGGAGCAAAGGGGCAGCACAAGGAGGCAGAGAAAATCAACCGATGGAGGCAATTCCATCAGTAAATGCAGATATGCCCCCAAAGAAGTAGCAACCTGGTGCAATCGCACAGTTATTTGAGGCAGACATAGAGTTTTCCTTCCCTGTGGGTTTCTGAGTACCCTGGTCAGAAACCAGCAACAGCGGTCACCTACTCTTGTGCATGCTGGACTGGAGCAAGGGCTGCCCTTTGGATGGGAATGGAAGAAAACGTTGCACTTTCCAACCTCCTGCCAGTTTTCCAACAAAGAACGTGACAGGCAAGAGCAGCTCCCCTCTTCTGCTTCAATGCATTGCTTCTGCTGTCAGCTGTTTCACTCCAGAGATCGCGCTTTAGCCAGGAGCGGTGTTCGGATGCCCGCGAAACATGAGATAGCAGCACGTCACCCAGACAGCCGTCACACACGGCGAGACTTCAAACCTAGACTGCAGCAAGATTGTAAAACACATTCAACAACCAGTGGCACCGTAATCCTCTGCTTGCACTCGGGCAAGCTGGTTCAGAAAGTGAGCTGGATCTGAGCGAGCTGCCCAGAACAGGAGACATCCCCCTCCACGGTCCAGTGGACAAGCCCTTTTCATCTCCCAGTGTCTGAAGCGCCTCAGGAAATCAGA